AGCCTTGTGGGTGGCATCAGGGGCGCTCGCGGACGCAGACAAGGCGGTCTCGAGCTCCCAGCGCGCGCAGCACACCGTGCGGCGGAGCCACTCGGGCGACGCATCGGGGGCGTCGGTGGTGCTAGTAGTAGTCGAAGAGGGGACATTCGAGTCGCTCGGGGGCGATAGCTCAGCGCCGTTATCAGCGAAGGGGATTGCGTCCCATGGGACGAAGGCGTCGTCCTGCTGCACGCGGATGCGCGGGTTGGTGCCAACCTGCGCCTCGAGAATGCGCGAGGCGGCGCGCGCCCGCTGAGCAAGTGCCGAGGTGCCCTTCTTCAGCAAGTCGAGGGTGTTGAGTGCTGCCAACCGTCGGATGTCCATAAACGATCTATGCAGATAAATGGCGGGAACTCACCCTCGAGTGGCACGATGACTACCTCCGTGCGGCCGTCGCGGCACCACTTCTTCACCTGGTGCAGGGCGTGCACGAGCACACTGGCATCGACGACGATAGTATCCGCGTCCTTCTCCTTGTCTCTGTCCTCCGTGGAGAGCCGCCCCACGTTCGCCGCCGGCGTCACAATCTCCCTGTCCCGCGGAACGGTCAGCACGCCAGGCGTCTTCTTTCGCGGCCCTTGCGCCGACTTGGCGACATAGTTCGCATTGTTCCCGCCGCGCTTGGGCGACGATTGGGCATGCGCCGAGTTTGGCGTCCGGCTTCGCCAGTTTCCCGACGCAGCGGACTTCTCTAGCTGTTCCACCTGGTGGCTCAGGAACGCGGCGCCGAGTGCGCGGGACATAGCCTGTGTCGATTAAAGGGGTGCAGCGTAGGCAATATATGTTACCCTACCTTCTTGTCTGCCATTCGGTAATATTTGTTGGAGCGTGAGGGGTGGCAAGTCTGTGGGTCCCAGCCGCGGTGCAGATAGGGTGATTGCTCGTCCCGTAGAAGCCCAGAGAGGTGTTTTATATGTCCAAGTTTCCGTCTGAGATGAGCTTGAGATATAGAAAATCCTGGTTGAAGAGTAGAAGCAAGTAGCAGGCCACAAGGTCGAGGCTCGAGGCTCAATTATGCCTGATTACTCAGCAGGCTGCGCATTCCTTTTTAGGACTTTTGCGGTGTTGATTCCGCCAAATGAGTCGAAAGCAGTGAAAGGCCACTGCATTGTCATCGCAATGCCCTTGGATCCGGGACCGGTGGCCCAGCATTACCCGAGCTGTCTGTTCTTGGCCCTCTGCGCTTGCGGCGACCTCTCAGTCGAAAACTTATTGTTTCGACGGAAGCATTTATTGTCAAGTTGCATCAACCGCTGGACAACTGGCGCCTCTCATTCGCACAGCATCCTTGTTCAACGTGGATCACTCGGTCTTCAAGGGTCCGAACGAACAGTGGTCGTCCAAGCTCTCATCTCCATGGCATCAGAGAGCCGGCTAGTCCTTTCCTTGTTGCCATTCTGAGTCTTGTTTCTTTTGATCTTTGGGCCTTGGCTTGTTGGACTCGGTCGCGCGAGACCAATTCTATCCAACCCTAGAGATTATCTATCTGGTTTCTCCATCCTCCTCCGGTTCCCGTTTAAATTATTTGTTTCCCCGAAACTTCGGCTGCCAAGACCCATTCTAGACTCGCTGGTACGATCAGACGCAATTCACAGGCCCTCATATTGCGGCTGTCCAACCGTCCCGAAAAAAAAATGTACCCAACATCCTATGCCCGGCGGTCGTCTTCGCACCGAAAGTGAATCATGATTCTTGATGCCATGTTTACGCCTTTATCTGCACGCAGGTCAGCCTTGTTCTCGCCCCATATTCGATTCTGATTAACAATTGAGTGGACCCACAAGACGCCACCGCCATTGTTTGGATCTTGTATATAGGATGTGGCCATTGTGTATACCACATCTTAACAATGGCCATGACAATCCTTGCGAGAAATATGTGGCTCTCCGCCCTCCAAAGACTGCCCAATCTAGACGATATCAACGACGCTGCGCATGTTCTCTCCGTGGTCGTGGAGGCTTTTCAAGGAACCCCGGGACCGCCTCTGAACCTCCTATATACGTTAGACAAGCCTTGCTTAGAGCTGCTGACTGTGGAACCTGGCCTTCTTAATCTTTTGAAACTCGCGCACGCGTCCGAGGAATATGAGGATGTTCGAAACTCTGGTGAATCCCGCCTCACTTCCAGTCCCGCATTCACTTATTCGTTGTAGATCTGCTGCGAAGACCCAGAATGCTCAAACCCGCTCAAGAGTTCCTCGACAGTCTCCGAGAGCCGCTCGTTGATTTCATCACCAATCCAGAGACCTTGTTCTCGTGGATGCCCGGTCCTCTTCCTGAGGACCCGGAAATGTTGGCGCATATCACAGCACTCAAGATCCGTACCTGGGAGCGAAATCCCGTGCGCCCTCGCATTATTCTGTCGGATCTCGGAAGCTTTCCCGACGATCCGGTGCTTCTGAAACGTATTCAAAATATCTTCGTGAGAGGGAAGCAGACGTCAGGAATTCCTCTTACACCAGGGACAGCGCTGATATAGCAAACAGATTTCTCGTGAATACGTCGGGGTCGGGGAAGACAAGACTTCTCTTCGAAGGTCTTCTCCGCGAATGGGGGCTTTACTTTACTTTCAACAACTATGATATTACGGAACCCGGGTCCCGCGATCTCTACACTGCCCTCACCAAAGCCCTTCCCTGGGATTCGTATTTCGCTAGAAATCTCCCTCATCCATCGTTGTCGGAATTTTCCGCGGCATTGAATAGGAATCATCGACGTGCATCTTGCTATTTTGGCGAGGCCCTGCTCGCTCGTTTATTGATTTTTCAAATGTTTTTAGAAATCGTCCGTGACTTAGGTCGAACAGAAGAGCAGAAATATCTTTGGCTACTGTTGCAACTTTCTGTGAAGCTGCGGCCGTACGGCGATATTTTTGACCGTTTGACTAGGCTTCTCCGCCAAAATGACGACTCTTACACCCGGGATAACGTTGCAGATACCCTTGCGCAGATTAGGGAGCTGTTGGGGTCCGACCTCCATCTCTTTGTCGTCGTGGACGAAGGCCAGGTTGCCTCCCGTGCCCTTCCTCAGGCCTTCCACAGCGAGAAGCTAAGGCATCCTGCGTTACGGGAAATTCTTCAAGTGTGGGAGGAACACCTTGGAGATACGGCTTCATTCGTGGTAGGAGGCACGGATATGCCTGAAGAAATGATCAACAATCCAGACTATGCCGCTGTGTCCCGGTGGACTTCCGACACGGGGGCGTTCGACGATCCGGCGGGCCACGAACGCTACCTGCGTCGTTTCCTGCCTCCGTCGTTTTTAGAGACAGAATCGGGCAAGGCGTTCATTCCTCGGGCTTGGCGTTGGCTTCACGGAAGGTGAGTGGACCGCCGCGGTGTCTGATTCGATGTTTATTTCATATCAAGGCACCGCTACACGTCGGCATTCGTTGCCGACCTCCTTGCATATAACTTCCAAAATCCGCACACCCGGCTCAATGACTACGTCCAATCTCTGTCAGGTTACCTTCCCACAGACGACCAAACGCTGGTCGCCGCCGAATCAGGACCCACGATCCTCCCCAAGTACTTTCAACTGTTGCAACTGCACCCTACGAAGTACCAAAAACTTGATGCCCGTAAGCTGATATCGCGATATCCCACGTTGGCTTGAACTCAAATGCAGTTTTCAGACCCGGAAACAAAGGCTACGATCCACGATATCCTTCTCCACCATCTTGTGACGGGCAGCCATCCTCCGCCATTCGGTCCCGACAAAACGGAGGCAGTTTCCATCGACTATGGTCGATTTACCGACGGAGACATGAAGGAGGTTGCCATCAATGAAGCTATCGTACTCGCAGGTATGGCTCAGTGGATGAACGAGCCACCTCCAAGGAGGGATTATCCCGACACGCCTCGCAGTTATCTCAGCACTCTGCAGCGAGCGCCTCCTCGGAGTGGGAAGACATTTGCGAAGTGCCTGGCGTTCTATTTTTCCCGAGCATTCGCCTCCAAACCCATACTTTCCGATCTCTTCACGTTCGCCGACCCCGTCCCGGCCTGGGCCCACGAGACGGCCGAACTCGTGGACCTGCATGCGAGCGAGGGCGGCAACATACGCTACTCCGTGATCTCCGGGTCGGACGGTGTGGATCCTCTTGCAACGAGCGTGGAAGATCTAAGTGAGATTGTGTCGTGGATGGAACATGAACATCGTACCCCCTTCTGTCTCCCATCCCGCGCGGATCCCGATCTGCTGTTCATTGTGAAGCTGTCGACCGGACCGTTCATCTGGGTGGTCTTACAGACAACTCCGTCGGCGAGCGATGGAAGTGACCTGCTCGTGCATTTCAGTGAGAAGCAGTTGTTCAGGGATGAGGTAACCTTGCTCCTCCCAGTTAAATCCGTTATTAAATGCCCATTTGCAGGAACGCGATCCCGATCTGTCCGCCCACAAACGGGCCATTGAACTTCTGAATACATCGCCAACCGGATCGAAGAGCTACGCGCCCACGGTACTTCGTGTGGTCGCGTCCTTCGAAGACGAGATCATTCTCAAAAAGCGCACAACACTGGCCACACCACGAGCCAGCCTTTCAATGGATGTGTTTAGGAAAATCACTGTCGTGTCGTCGTCGGAGGTCGTGGAGAGGATGGTCGGTAGTGTCCTGGGCAAGCGGAGGGAGAGCGTTGACGTAAGCGAGGGCAAAGGTCGTCCCAAGAAGCGCCAGAAATCACTTCCCGTTGTTGGGGCCACCAGTAGGCCAGTGACTCGATCGATGACGAGTTTGGCTGCGAGCAGGAGCAAAGGGAGGTCTAGATATAAGTAGGGCGGTGGTCCTTAGGTCTGAAAAAAGCGGAATTAAACACATCACGTGACGGCTAAGTTCAATCCCGGATCAGCAGGTTGTCCATCTAACGACGACGTGCTTTCGGATCTTCTTGGATTCAAGGCGGAGACTCTCATGGGACGGGAAAACGATAAGCCTGGGAGCAGAAGCACCAGAAAAAGGTTGCCTTCCGGTACGGGGAATCGAACCCCGAGCTACCGCGTACAGTTGACAACCGTGCGAAATTCTTGAAAAGCGGTAATGTTGACCGTTACACCATACCGGAGTTACAGCGATTTGCGGGACGAGGGTAGATGAGTGGGGAACAAGAACGAAAGCAAAACGAATTTTGGCCAAGATTGAATAATTTCTAGTTGTATCACGATAAATTTGCACAAATTACCCCCTGCACTTATTGGGAGGCTCCCAAGACATGTCCCGCAGGTCCTTGAATAATTTCAAGATTTTAGGAGCAAGGGGGGGTCCAGTGGCCGCATCGCAAAGTGGGCGATGGCAATCTGCTCAATATTTGATGGCCATCAAATATTGATGGAATGGCAAGAAAAATTGCAGAGGCCGTTGTGTGGCCCGAGAGGTGTTCAAAACATTCTTGGGCGTTGAAAGCAGCCGTTGGTTTGCTCAATACGTCTAAGAAAAATCATAACTTGTAGTCAAAAGGTGACTTACTACTTACCACTGGGAGGTTCATGTTTCCGGTAATGTTGACCGTTGCACCATACCGAAAATAACACTCCAGTGTGCGAACTCGGGCATGTTTTTTTTACCCTCAGTAATTCCACTCCAGCGCCACACGTGGTGAGAGTCTCCTTTGAACAGATATTGTTGTCCGTACACGCAGCACAAATTGGAAAGCATTTCTACGTAAAGCAGTTTTCCGAGACAGGCAACGTGTTCCCGGAAGTTTATACTGCCATCGTTTAGACATTGACCAGAAGTATCTGCGTGACAGAGCGGAAACCGATGACGTTCACTATCGCAGGATTCAACTAAGGTGACATCGGTGAGCGCAAAGACAATGGGGCACGCAGTACTAGGAGCCCAATTATGGGACCGGACAATATGGACAGTTCCCCTATATCTGTTTGACGAGGTCAAGAAAGCCGACCTCTAGTCATCGCATACATGTTATCTGAAAGACGTTCACGGTTGTCTCTGCCGTGTAGTGGATGCAATTAGAGCCAAAGAGCGGTCGAATGGTGAAGCACTGAGAAAATACTGCACCGCGTATTCGAACTCATTGCCCCCCTCATGACAGTAAGAGTATGTGGGCTTCCGGCGGCCTAAAAAGGATTCGCATTGCCGACGTATTCAACTGCCAGAACTAGATCCCATTTGAGAGGTTTTTAACGACAACGAAGACAACACAGAAAAGCGGTGGAGCGTCACGGGCAGACCAGAAGTGCTGGACGAGGGAGAAATACTAGTTGGCCTTTAGAGTGGTTGGTCAATATGGGATTACTGAGGTGGCGGCAGGAACAGAAAAACCTGACCACGGTAGGCCAACAGCAAGAAGGAAGTCGGCTTTGTGAAATCAAGTTTCGGTACAAACGGAACGATGGAAACAGCGTAGCGAGGGAAGCGGGGCGAGAAGCACCTGTCGCATAAAATTCCAGCGAGTCTCCTTCGGAAGTGATTATTCGCCTCAAAGGTCACTCACGAAAGCCGTACTGGGTAGACTGGGACAGGTGCCAGAAGAGGTTTCTCTTTTGCATTGAAGGCTCTCGGTGAAAAGAACGGCCGCCGGACGGCAGGCTGAACCCGTGGACTGAGGTTCCTCCCATCGCGCGATCAGCGGAAACTTTGGAATGAGGGTGACCGGGATCATAGTGCGACCGTAGGAATGGGAGGAGGAGAGCGCGCAATCGATACAGGGCAGCAGAGAGCAAGACGGAGGATCAAGAAATCGTACTTAACAGGCGTAAAAATGACCTGTATCGAAGACTTTGGTTCCTGGAGTACAGCAGAGTACAGCAGGCGTGTGGTTATAAAGATCCCAGTTCTAGACATGTCCCAGAATGCCTCCAGCATTGGATGGAGGGGCGGCGAAAGGGAAACAGTCTAGCGGCCTAAGGAAATGTATTGATGCCATCAGAATCTCGAAATTTTGCTAACCATAATGTAGAGCAAGAAAATGAGTATTACTATGTATGACTGGGTATATATCAAGTATGAGATACAGCAAATTAGGGATAAATACACTAGGCTAGCCAAGACATCTCCATTAACGCTCTCTAACCATAGCCAAAGATGGCACCCAGCATCTCCTTCCACCCTCTCCGCATGACTACGCTCGCGCCCCCGCCGTACTCGAGCGCGAGCCACTCCAGGTACCGTGCATCCATCCCGCTCATAGGCCCCAGCTCAAACGCCGCCATGTCCCTGGATGTGAAGGAGATGACCTTGTTGGGCGGAGTGGGTAGGAACGTCTCGAGTGTCGACAGCTGGAAGGCCGTGTGCGCGTGCAGGGTCTGCAACAGCGACAGCGTCGTCAGGATCTGCCCGTCCCGGCGCGCAGTGTCGTACGTCTCCGTCTCCGCGTCATCCTCGTAGGGCACCGGTTGTGCAGCGGCGGCCTTGCCCTTGGCGCCGGTGGGAGACGGCGACGCGGGGTTGGTGACAGTCGCCTTGCCGCTCGACCACGAGATGGCGCTCGAGCGGCGGGTCGTCTTGCTCGTCGTTGGGTTGAGCCCACTCCCGCTGGCGCCGACCTGTGGCCCGCCTTCGATGCCCATCCCGACACTCCGTACATGCCCTCCTGGACTAGACGCCGCCTCGGCACCGAGCGCACGCAGGCTGAGGTCTTCGTCGCCCTCCAGACGGACGCTGCCCCAGTTGGCTGCGCCGTCCGCCGTCGAGTACGACATGACCGAGTTGCCCCGCCAGGAGCCCATCCACAGCCCAGCACAGATGACGCACACGTCTTCGTAGACGCGCCACGCATCCGTCCACGCCGTAATGGACTTGGACTTGGGGTCCTGCGACAACGAAGCAAGAGAGCAGCACGAGTGGTCGTGAGCCGTCGACGAGTCGAGTTGGAGGATGCGATTCAGCTCATTCCACTATACAATATTGAAATATAGAATTGCGACGCCATGGGGAAACGTACTAGCTTGATGTCGCTCCATGAGAAGCGGACAACGGAGAGACGGTGGGTAGGGCCACGCGGTCGAGAGGGGCCAGAGGAGGCGGGCTGCACTGGCCGCGATGAGTAAAAGGTGGGTCGTGTAGCCTTGTTGGGCGTCGACGTCGTTAAATCGATCAGTAGGTCGTAACACGACGGCTTCTCTAAGAAAATGGCATCGGTGGTGCCTGAGGCCAGTGTCAGTATCGAGACAATGGATATGACGAAGGAACGTACATGCTACCCATCCGCGCCCACTACCGCCTTCCGCCTGCAATCTATCTAAGTCATTCAGAGTCACCATCCCGAGGACGCTGATACCCTCCGTGCACTTCCCCCGCAAGCGCGAGGAAGGAGATCCCGGGGATGTCGTATACTCGACTTGTTGCTCGTAGCACATGTCTGCCGCTACCTGGCAGAGAATCGACGCAGCCTCGACTGGCGGCAGGGTGTAGATTAAGATCCGTCGTCTGGCGACAACGTGCTTGTATAGTGTTAAGGAGGAAGGACCAAGGATCCTGAGGAGATGCGGCAGATGGAGCGTAGGGTTCTGCTCCGTGGCTTCGTCGTCGAGCTAGTGGAGCGTAAGGAAAGGCACAAGAGGAGGGGCATAACGACTCACCCGCTCCAGGAGCTCGTGGCTCCATCCATTCCAGTCTCCAGCCCCTCCTAGGTTGAGGCGAGCGACTTTGCGCTCGTTGAAGAAGATACGGGCTGGCTCCCAATCGCTCTCGGTGGGGACCAGGGAAGCGGAGCTCTCGAAGCGAGAGAAGATCAAGCTAGCGAGCTCTTTCAGGGCGGCGGTATGTCTCCACGGCCGGGGGCGGGCAGACTTAGCCAAGAGGATTCCGAGAGACGAGAGTCGAAACCCTCGGTGCCCATGGTCGACTGTCTTGCGGCGCCGGAATACACAGACGCCGCGCTGACCATCTTTGGAAAAGTAACTGACAAAAATGTTAGCGCAAAGAACGACGGGATATGTAGATGCAAAGAATGAGGTGGAGGATGCGCTCTGATAAGTGGGTGGACGCGAAGTCATCCTACACCCCTGCGCCGCAGCAGGTCCGGTTTCGGTGAGACATCGACGGAACATGCGAGGTCACAGGTAAACGCAACATCCCGGAGCAGGGATCATTCCCGAGTCTATTCAAGGCAAGGCAGAGGGACCGAGAACCCACACGACATCTTCCTCGACCAAATGGAGTCCGCTAGGTAGAGCGCTGAACTCCAGATGATCCAAATTCAAATCTGATTTTGCAGTTAGAAACCTCGTTTCGCCAGCGAAAGATCTTCACTTGCCTTCGCTAGCCTTCAACGACCAATCGATTATGTTTCCTTGTGTAGGGTGAAACGAGGCATGAAAGATGGCAACTGCGCAGGTATCATGAAAAGCCTGTATAGTTCCACGTTTATGTCCACACCTATATCTTGGGGATATCGTCCTTTGGAATCCAAGGAGGACATGGAGAGAACGAAAGTCGTGGAGGAGGAGAAGGAGCACAATAACCGAGTCACGCCGGAAGTCACGCCGTGTGACCTTTCCTCCGCCATGTCCCAGCCTCAGCAAATCAGTGTCAACGACCTAGACGTCTCTCAGCTGGCCGATGTGCGCAGGCAGCTTGAAGAGGTGAATACTAGGGGGCTCTTGTTTGACGCGGAATCTTCTAATCGCGTCGCTGCACCCAGGAACTGAATCACCTTACAAACTCCTTCGCGCAGCTGAAACAAGCGCAGGCAAAATTCAAAGCGTGCATTGAGAATGTGGCCGAGATAAAACCGTCGAATAAAGGTTGTCTTTGACTCTCCCCATCCGTCTGCGATTGACCGTCCGATCAGGCAAAACGATTCTCGTGCCATTAACAAACTCGCTCTACGTTCCTGGGAAGCTGTCCGACCCAGAACATGTCATCGTCGATGTTGGGACAGGTTACTTTGTGCAAAAGGTATATTATTGACGTGCTATCCCGATAATTTGCTGCTTACTAGCACCTCCCAGACGCGAGAGCAGGCTTTGAAGCACTATTCCGCGAAAGTAGAGTATATCCGGACAAATCTGGAGACGCTCGAGGAAACGATAGGTAAAAAACGAGAAAACATGGGTTATCTAGTCAATGTAATGCAGTCCAAGCTGCAACAGCAGCAAC